CGACAAACGGTAAATTGAATGCAACACCAGCACACACACAGACACACACACAGACAATGAGGCACACTCGCTGCTTACCACAAATAAACGAAGAAACCCTTTTCCTTTTGTTTGGCTCATTTTATTTAAATTGTAACGCAACACGAGCAACGAGCAGCGATTCCATATCCAATCCCAATCCGTATCCATATCCCAATCCCGATCCCAATTCCAATCCCAATCCTTATGTGTTATTCATGAGCTGCGTAAAGCAAATGCAACAAAAAAAAAAAACAAAAAAAAAAAAAAACAAAAAAAAAAGAAAAAACAAAAACATTTTGCGGGTTTTGCCTTCTGCCAATTGGCAATTGGTAACAAAGTTTTTGACTTTGCCACAATGCGTTGGCGTTGCAAATGCACTGCAAAAAATGCTGCTTAATTTACACAATAATTAACATAAAAGTGGAAATTAGCTTATTGATTTGAGCTAATTAATATCATAAATATAAATTAAATAAATTAAACACTTTTAAATATTCAAAAAAAATAACTCTTTTTATTTATTTATTTATATTTTTTTTTTTTTTTTTGAGTGTGTTAACAACTGACGACTGACAACTGGCGACTTGCAACTGCCTCAAGTGACAAACTGGGCAACCGGTCAGTCAGTCAGCCAACTGGCTGGTTAAGTGCTTCATTGTCACCCCCAGCGCCCAATTAGACACCTGAGCGAAGGAGTCGCCTCCTTAACGCATTCTGCTCGCATTTGTAAGTCGATTAGATGCGCGTGTTGCATGCCACAACAACAACAACTGCTGACAATGATTTGCAAGCGAGCAATGCATGCAAATTTTTCAACAGTGTTGTTAGTCATATAATAATATATCGATATATATACATATATAGATCTGTATAGTATAATAATATAATAATCTTCATGTTTAGGGTTTAATCAAGCCAATTTTATCTGCTCAACTTGTGTTTGTTATTAATCAATTAAATCAATTAAAGAAAATACGCAAAATATATTCAAAAGTTGCAAAATTATTATTTTATTTATCTTTCAAATCGACATAACAATATACAAGATATTAATTTTCTTACACTTTTTATTATTATTTTTTAGTATTTTCTTCGCAATTTTATTCATCAGTTGAATAACAAACAATTATAAAATGAACTTTTAGATTTTGATCAAGTTGGATGAAAATGTTGTGTAGAAAATGTGGCATAAAAATGGTTTGATTTCGACTGGCTTCGACAGACTGGCAAGCATCATCTACTGGTTAAAACAATCTATTATATATATATATATATGAATAATTTACTGATCGATATTTTCGCAGCAGTCTGCGTTCGTCTTTTAGCAAAAGTTAAAGTTAAATCAAAGTTTTCATTATTTTATTGATTCGAATTTTGACTCTTCTTCTTAGTTCCACTGATCGGCGCGATATCGAATGTTATCTTTTAATGATTAGACTATAAACTTTTGAGCATTTTACACCCTCAACATATACCTATATATATATATATACATATGCTTGATCAGGATCAAAAGTCAGCGCTGTCTATCCATCCATCTGTTTGTATGAGACTTTGTACAGACTGCAAGGCGGACAAAGGAAGCAACTTTGGCAGCACTTCAGAATACCCATTTTGAATGCGTACAGGGTATCACAATTTAGACAATATTTAGACATTATACAAATAGCAGCAGTGCTATAAATAAGCTTGTATTCCGTTTCATTTCATTTAGTTAAAGTGGCTGCCAAAATGTTCGAAACATAAATGGAACAAACATTTTCCAAAAACACTTTCAAACGACTAAAAATACAATACTATAAAGTCTATATGCATATATATATATATATACTTAATATAGATATGTATATAGAAAATGTGCTGAGTGCAGTTTTGAAGGTGAACTTTTGATTGGTTGTGTGTTTTGCTGTTGCATAAGTGGAGCAGCAGCGGAGCAGGCAGAGAATCTTTACTGTTGGCGAGTGCTGGCATAAACGCACGTAAAACGCTTGCGAAACGCGCACAAATAATTAAGTATTAGAAATGCTGAGAAATTCCAAGGAACATGGAAAATGCAACACGCAGCAGCAACAGCAGCAGCCGCAGCAGCAGCAGCAGCAAGCAGAAGAGCCGAGCAGCAAAAAGTTGTTCCCAGCTGAGATGCGAGCATGAAGAAGAAGAAGAAACACAAGAACAACATAGTAGAAAAGAAAGGCGGTTTAGTAGTAGGAGTAAGGAGGGGTTAGGAGAGCATGAAGCGGGGATTTCAGGCCAGACTAGCTGACGTTCAGTTAGAAATACAGCCGGAGTGGAGCCAGCTGCAAAAGCTTCTCCTGACTAACTGTCAACATGGGCGTAGTTCTCCAAAAGGATTCGCTGGCAGCAGTTAGTGTTAGTGTTATGTTAAGTCTAGACTTACGTATGTTAATATGTGCAAAGCTTTTGTCTGTTAGCAGACTGCAGCAGTTTTGAGGCTGCACAGTTTGGGGTGCTGTTAAGTTGTCTGTAATTTGCAAAGTTAGACTGTTAACAGATGCTTCCTTTTACATATATATTAACATGTGTAATCAGGTAATTAATTCAAATATGTTATTAACGCTTAACAGACTTATTTGCTGCAATGGCTGTTAACATAATGAAACCTAAGCTTTTTAACAGCTAGTTGGGAGATCATAGTTTTGGTTTATTTATTAATTTAAAATACAATAAGTAAGTAAAAGATGAAAATAAATTACATTTAAATTAAACAATAATAAGAATTATTTATAAATAATAATAATAATAACTACGCCCATGTGTTGAGCGACAGTCAATACCAATTAGTAAGCGCTGCACAGCGCACATCAATACAATTGTGAGAACCTTGTGGCCAGCGTGTGAGTATGATGAAATGTCAGATGAGGCAACAAACTTGAAGATGCAACTAGCTAATGCTGCTGCTGGAGCCGGTGCACCCGCTGCGGGGTCGAGCCATATAGAGCCTGACCAGCTAGCCAGCTAGCCAGGCTGACTGGCAGACTGGCTGAAAGCTAGAAGCGAGCGTTCTATTTTGACAGTCATTATGATTAATTTAAATCATTAGGCAGCCCAGGCAGGTAGACCGATCTCTACTGTGATTTTTAATTAAATGCAGACGTCTCTTGGCTGGTTGCCTGGTTGGCTGCTTGGCTGGTTGGCTGTGGACTATTCCTATTCCGCGAAAGAGAGACAAGCTGGCGACAACGGAGCCAAGGCAAGGCTGCTGCCAAAGTCTGGAAAAGGCAATGTTTGCCATTTGCAGCTGGGGAACGAGCCAGGAATGCGTCGATGTTGCAACTGATGTTGCCTGCTGCTGTTGCTGTTGCTGCTGCTGCTGCCGCGTCTCGATTATCAACTGGGAGCAGTAACTGGCCGCTTGACTGGACAGTGTATCGATGGATCGATGGATGATTGTCGACTCTCGACTGTATCTGTTAGTCACTGCACGTGGCCAGGCAACCAGGCAGGCAGCGCTTCTTGCGAACGGCTATTTAAGGACATTGCGCAAATACTCGAGAAGCGAGCGCTGGGGGAAGTATAAAGGCGGGAGTAGAAACAACGCCACCGCCACCGCCACCACCACAACCAGCACCACGCAAATCCTCTAGAGCATTTGCTTTGACCATATTGAACCTGACCAGCTGAAATTCCTGGCATAGTTTAAGTGTATCGCTTTTTGTGTGCGCCTAGGGGCAGTCTGCAGCAGTCTGCAGCAGCTCAGATGCGACATCGGACAACGGAGATGTCCGATTTCGTTCCTCCTTTTTTTTTTTTTGGTGAAATTAACTTAATCAGCGCTGATAAGCAACCACAAGCAACTACTCTAAAATGGCCGATCGATAATTAAAAACTCAATCACGCAGTACAAATAATTGCAACAACAGCAACAACAACAAGAAGAAGAATAACGATAAACAGACGCGTGACGCGCTCCACACAAGTGGGCGGAGTTCGTAGCCAATTGGGATCTATGCGTCGGCGCACAGCCAATCAAATGCACGCAAATGGCAGATGTTTTGCACAGTAAATTATGCATACACCTAAAAGAGCGAGCGCACACACACACACTAATACACAAACACTAATACACATTATATACCTAGCCTATTGGTGGGCTTAATTAATTAAGCCATAAAGCGGCAGCAGCAGCAGCAACAACAACAACAGCATAGCTCTTATATATTAAGGCTCACGCTCTTTACAAAGAGAGCGCGCGCTCTCGCTCTCTCTCTGTCTGTCTCTTGCGCGCGCTCTCTCTCTCTCCCTCTGTCGCTCAGTGACGGACCGGTTGTGTGGGCTCCAAGTTTGGAGCGCATTTTGAACGCCGCTGCGCCGTCGCTTGCCATACGCGTGCTTTGTTATTAGGTATTTGCACGCCATCTGAAGCACAACGAAGGCAACAATCGATCGCAAAGTTAGCTCGACACACCAAAAATACAAAAAAAGAAAAAAAAAGAAAAACAACATATATATATATATATATATATATATATATACAAAAGCAGCAGCAGCAACAACAACAACAATAAGAACACACACCAAAACGCGCAACGTTCGCAAACGTTTTCGAATTTGGCAGTAGCCACATTAAAACAGCTTTTAAAGCGAAAAAGACCAAAACAAGTGCCAAACGCATCTCGACAAATAAGTCAACACAAAACAATACCAAATCGAATCAAACATCAAACAGCAACTACAGCAACAAACAGCAACCAGCAGCAACAACAACAACAAACAGTTACAAATTCAATGTGCAATTTTTGTATTGCTCTTACAAAGATTTTGCATAATTTTTCAAATTAGCGCGCGCACCACACACATCGCCGCGAACAACAACCAACCCTATGCAACTCTGCGCCCTGTTAAGCGACTGTTAGTTAAGCAGGCTGTTAGCTAGCAGCACAAGTTGTCAGTTTTTTTGTGTGCTTGCGCCGCGTGTGTGTGTGCGTGTGTGTTGCGTGCTGCGACCAAAAAAAAAGAAATAAAAAGAAACGTATCGGTGTTTATAATTGTTTTTAATAATAATAAGCAAATATCTAAACGATATTAGACGCGCTCAATTACAGGCTGCAGCGAGTGCAGCACAACGCGTTTGGTGATTATAACAGCAAACGGCAAGCAGCGCACAGCAAGCAAAACAGCTGACGGCGACAGCGGCGCCCGCTTATTGTGCCTGTGTGTTCGTTTGTGTGTGTGAGTGTGTGTGTGCGCGCCTTTGCCTGTGTGTGTGTGTGTGTGTGTGTTATTTTTGTGTTTATTTTTGGAATTAAATAAGCTGAGCAAAACTAAAGCTAAAATCGAATAATCAAAAAAAAAAAGAAAAGCAAGAAAAGGAAAGAGAGAGAGAGAGAGAGAGGAGAGTGGGAGAGAGAGAGAGAGAGAGAAGAAAAGTGTGCCGCAGCGGGCAATAATAGACGCGCGTGGTGCCTTGGATTTAGTGTACGGCTCCACGGTGGAGAACTTTTACCTGAGAATGGATCCGACGCGCGGCGATTCGCGCTATAACCTAAACTACTCGATGAGTAGCATTGGGTTAAGTCTCGCCGATCAGGCCGACATGTATGGCAATCCTGCCGTTGCGGCACTGGGCGCCCGCCCGCCCAGCGGCGGTCTGCTACAGAGCATGGGCGGCGGCGGCGGCGGAGGCGGAGTCACCATGCAACGTCCCGTTCCATCAGTAGCGGCGCAACAACAGCAGCAACAGCAGCAGCAGCAACAGTGCCAAACACTTAGTCCACAACACCAGCAACAGCAACAACAGCAGCAGCAGCAACAACAGCAGCAACAGCAGCAGCAGCAACAACAACAGCAACAGCAGCAGCAACAATCACGCGGCTTAAAACGCAGCGGCAGCGATTGCTACGAGGATCATCGTCCCAGCGGTGGCGGGGGTGGTATGACGCTGCAGGGCTTGGAGAGCTGTGCCGCCGTTGGCAGCGTTGTCGCCGGCAGCGTGGCCGGCGTCGATGTTGATGGTGTCGATGGCTATAATGCGTTGCCCAATAAGAAATCACCGCCCGCCAATGGCAAAAAGACAAAGGGACGCGTCAAAATCAAAATGGAGTACATCGACAACAAGCTGCGACGATATACAACGTTCTCCAAGCGCAAAACGGGCATCATGAAGAAGGTAAGTGTGGAACTAAAATGACGACAAATAATTAAGAACAAAATCAAAAAAAAATAAAAATTATTAAAACAATGCTTAAACGAGAAAGTCGAAAAGAAAGTCAAACCTAACATTTCTTAAAGCTATAAATTGCGCTTACAATTTGTATTTAAATATTTCTTTTGGGACACTTAAAATATGTCTCAAGATCAAGGCCAAAAATTATAGCAGCAAACTAATATATATTTAAGTGCTCCCTTGGGTAAAAAAACGTTTCGAAATTCAGAAAGTGTCAGAAAGTTTGAAATGAATTTACTAATTTCATAAAGTACAATAATTCAGGATAAGTTAAATGCCTCAAATAGAATAAGTCTGATTATACAAAGTTGACTTTTCATATTTTAGTTGATTAACTTGGCCGAGAGCATTATCTCATTATAAATACCAACTAATTGCTAGAAACATTCTTTTCACTCGCTGAGTCATAAATTTGATCAGGGATTCAGTCTTTGACATTTCCCATTTTTGTTGTATATATTTATATATGTATGCAGATATCTATATATATATATATTATATGGAATTTGAAAAATTATAAATATTTTGTGCGTAGCAAACATCTCTCGGTCTTTTGGCATTATTGCTTATTCTGATGCTGGCAGACAAAGTAAATATATATTTTATTTATTTGCCAAATGCAAAGTTTCTAATTGTTTAACAATTTTGGAGGGGGGGAGGTCATTTTTGTGGAGTGTGTTGCACGTTTTGAGCGCATGTGCAATTAATAAATGCTGCCGAATGCTCAATTCTCAATTCTTTGTCGTATCAATTCAGGAGTCCCTGCGCGCCTCTCTTGTGGCATTGTTTTCTTTGCTTTATCGTTGTGCTGCCATCGTGCTATACCTGAGCTCCTTAGAGCCTCCACACCACCACCCCCACTCCACACACACACACAGAGAAAGACACACACAGAGACACACACGCCCTGTGTCAATCGTAACATGGCCAACTGTTGCCGTTTTGCTTCAGCTTCAGTTGCAGTTGCAGCTTCTGTTTCTGCTTCTGCTTTTGCTTTGGCGGCGGCGGCGCTGTGTAAGCGCGGTAGCCACGATTCCGATTCCGATTCCGAATTTCCCTTTGTTTTCGGCTTCATAAAATGTTAATTTGCCGGCCCCGCAATTGCATTCAAAGAGCAAACAGCCAATACCCCGATACCTTATAGCCATAGTTATACCTACACTGAGAAAAAACGAAATCAAATTGCAAAATTACATTTCAAATTTAATTGCTGTCTTAAAGCACATATTTGATTGAAGCTGGAGTGCCAAAAGTATTTTATTTTATTTTATTTCTTTTAATAATATTTTGCAAGATTTGGTTTTTATATTAAGAATATAAATAAATCATAAGCGGAAACATTTAAGGGGCAACTTTTTGTAGCACATTGAGAAATATGTTTTAGTTTAATTTAGGAATGGTTTTTTTTTTTTAGAGTGTATACACATGTGCATTATATATGTATGGCTACACCAATCTCATTTCGCGTCCTTTGCAGCAGTTGCGTGCCGCTTGGCCTCATTGTCATGCGAAGATGCAACTGCAACTGCAATTGCAACAACTGCCACTGTCTTTGGCTCCTTCTTCTTGGCCTGCTTCTGCTGCTGTTACTGCTGCTGCTTGGCCAACTCGGCGTTGTTGCTTTTTTTTTATTTCAAATGACCAATTTTCACACGCAAACTTACATAATGCGCCTGCTTGGCTCGCATATGAAATGCTTAACATTTTTAAATAGACTTCTTGGCCTCAAAGTCGCTACGATCAAAAAATAACACAACAACAACACAAACAACAAACAGAAAATCGCCAGCGCCAAATCACGATCTCAGCACGATCTTAACAGCGAAAAATCTTATGAAATATTTTTGCTTAAAAACGAGACAAAAATTTAAAAAGGAAAAACTCGAAAGTTGGCCTCGAACCGATCTATACCCTTTTTGCCGAAAACTGGGTGTGTTTTTCAGTGGGTGTGTGTGTGTGTGTGTGTGTGTGCAAACAGATCTGCTGATTGAACTACTATATAATATATAGTATTCTTAACAACTTACTTTGAGTAGAGCCAGCTTAGTCAAATTGCAGTGCATAAATATCAATTTTAATATTTGTCTTAAAACTGTTTGAGAGCATTAAATAATTATTATAACTTTTGTGTTATCTGACTGCACATTTAATATTAATTATATCTATATATATATATATATATATATCCCACTCAACTTTTAAACGTCGTTTAAAGTTTTATTAAAACTGCGCAAGTTTTGCTGTTAGTTTTTTGTAGAATTCACTTTGAGCGCATTGCAAAAATATTTGACCCCAGAGACTGAAGTTTCTGCCCGTTTTTTAACTGCTGACTTCTGTTGTTGTTGTTGTTGCAGTTGTTGCTACTGTTGTTGTTGTTGTTGTTGTCTGGCTGACTTTGGGGGCCCTACTTATGACAGGCGCGCGCCTGTTGACAGGGACAAAACTTTTGTTATATATTTTTAGTGACTTTGATGTGGCCCTCATCGATGTCCACGCCGCGGACAGTTGACAGGCACACAATGGATACGCTTGGCGCTACACACACACATACACACACACACACTACGGCACACACACACGCACCGTCCTGGACAACAAATTGCGGTTATTGAACTTGATCAGTTAGTTTTGTTTGGCAGACGCCACAGATTTCCAAAGGCAACCTGTGCGTTTGCTTTCTTGCCCAGTGCGTTCTTCTTTCACCGTCTCCATAACCAATTTTGGTCATTTGGCAAAAGCTACTAACAAAAATCAATATATATATAAATATATAAATATATATAGCTGTCTGTTTTGGTGTGGGCGTGCTCGCATCTTGGCCGAAAAAGGCCAAAAGTGAAAAGTGAGCTAATGTCAACGCAATGATCTCATTTGTAGGCCTGGCCTAATTGCGTAGGCTGCAAGGCGTTGCTTCTTCAACAAATGTCTGCAACAAATGCAGAAGCAGCTTGTGTGTCTGTCTCTGTGTGTGTGTGTAATGTACGTGTGCTGTCTGTGCCACAATCCACCATGGGCTGAATGTATTTTTGTTGAAGCATAAGCAAAATAGTCACTCAATTGAATAGTTCAACATTTCAATTTATTGATTCTTCATCTTTTAGATACGTATTTAATTAATTTAAATATTTTACTTAACATCAACTTCAAAAAGCACAAAGCATTTCAAAAAAAAGATACATTTTTTAACTAATATATTTTTTGCTTATAGACTCTGATCTTATTATTGATCACTCTCAAGTTTAAATTAATTGAAGTTCAACAAATTTTAATAAAATTATAAAAGTTGTATTTCACATTTTAAATATATATTTTCATATATTTTTTAAAATTTATATTCTTTTATTTTAGTAGTTAAAATATGCCAAAAATTGATGTTGCAAGCAATTACTTTGTGCCAGCAAAATTATGTTTATGTGCTATGGTGGCACTGGCTGTCCGTCTGCCTGTCTGTTGTCCTACTGCCTGTCGTTTGCCATGTAAAACGTTTGCAACAATGGGGCACCGCCACAAGCCGGCAGGCAAGCAGGCAGGCAGTGAGGCAGGCGCAAAATGCCGCCAAAAGGTGTTAAATTGAAATCACGAGGCTACGCGAGACACAGCGAAAGAGAGAGAGAGAGAGATTGAGTATGTGTGTGTGTGTGTGTGTGTGAGATGGGGCGAGTGCTGAGGGCAAACTTGGGGGCCAAGCGCATTTTGGCTTTGGCTTGGGAATTGTTTGCGCGTCTTGTGGCCAAGCACGGAAGCGTATTGATACCAAGTAGCAGCGGCAGATTGCGCGCAGATAAGACACAAGCAGGAGCTGGAGCTGAAGCTGAAGCTGGAGCTGAAGCTGGAACTGCAGCTATAGCAGAAGTGGCTAACAGTTTGGCCGACAGTTTGGCTGCGTCGGCTCGCCTTTTGGCCACATGCAACAGCCAACAGGCAACAGCCAAACAGCAAGGAACAACAATCGCCTTCTAACAAATGACTCGGCCGCTCTCGCGCTGCTTGGCTTGGTCTCTGGGGCTTGTCCTGTCAATAGCCTCATAGCCCTGTGTATATGTATGTGTATGTGTATGTGTCGTGTCCTTTTGTCTTTGTGTTCGAAATTCAAATTGACATGAATTGTTGGCAGCCTAGCCGCCAGTTGCAATCGTATTCCCAGCCACAGCAGACACCTACTCACTGAGTTGGCCCGGGCCGTGTCAATTGTTTGCATTTACACATGTTACACATAAAATTGGCAGCCACAGAGGCAACAACAACAACAACGAAAACAACAATAACAATAAGGCTGGCAGGCTGGCAGGCAGTCTCAGTCTGCCAACAATGTGTGTACAACAATTTCATTAATATTAATAAATGCTATGCAATCGAGGGGCGCGCGCGTTTTGTGCGCGTTTCTCGCGCGTTTCCTCGCCACGCCGTGTTTATTTATGCGCTGAGCCGCCGGCTCTGCTCAGCTCAGCTCAACTCAGCTCAACTCTGCTGTGCTATGCTCTGCGCATGGCTCACTACCACTACCACTACCACTAACACAGAAGAGCAACTTTATCGCTTTGGAGTAATTACGAGCTGTTGATAGGCAGCTTAAGCTACCGTCTCGCTGCCTCGAGCAGCAGCAGGCGCTTTCAATAATCTACATTAGAGATGAGCGCGTGTTTTGAATCACAAAACAGCCAATTGAAAGATGTGTTAAAAGCATGATTTCATTTTGATTTCCCTTGAGCCAAAGAGGCTTTATTTCAACTGATTACTTTTGATTGTAATAGAAAAATATTCCCAATCAAAATACTTACTTCTTGATTATAATTGAATATTAAATATTTACTGTTAACAAGAGAATAGTATTTCCAATAAAAATACTCACTTTTTGATCATAATTTAGTAGGTTTACTGGTAATGATAGAAAAGTCATTCCAATAAAAAAAATTACCTTTTCTGACAAGTATCTTAAACTGATCCATCTTTGTTCCATTTCATACATAGCCAACAATTATTAGGAAAAGATGTTGAATATATTTATTACTTATTGCTTCATCAACATCTTCAATACTCCTTTCCAACTAGACTAAGTTTTTGGCATACTTTGGCAACAAAGTCTTTTTAAGTCTTATCATGGAATTTTGTATAAGTTTTACACAATTTGGCCAAATTTGCTTTTGTCTCACGCGGCCATCTCAAACAGTTTTCATAGTTTTCGCTGGTTGCAGCCGCATTTGGCTAATCTGTTATCGCTGCAACATAATCGCATAGTTTAACTTAAAATTTATGTGCCGCTTTCGGCAAAAGCGCAGACTGCTCTGCGTTGTAGTTAACACAACTTTTAACCACACTTCCTCCACTCTTTGCTCTCTGCAGGCCTACGAGCTGTCGACGCTGACTGGTACTCAGGTGATGCTGCTGGTTGCCAGCGAGACGGGACACGTTTACACATTTGCGACGCGCAAGCTGCAGCCGATGATAACGTCGGAGGCGGGCAAACAACTGATACAGACATGCCTCAATTCACCGGATCCGCCAAGTGTTGGCGGTGGCGATCAGCGCATGTCTGCCACCGGATTCGAGGAGACGGAGCTCAGCTATAACATCGCCGACGAGGACTCCAAAGTAAGACAATTGATTTACGGCCATCACGGGCACGCTCATCTCGCCCACCCCCAGGCGCCGCCCACCCACTACAGTCTCGAGCAGAGTCTCATGCAGTCCGGCTACAGTGGCGGCCAGGCATCGCCCCTATCACACGCCCAGGCCTACGGCGGGCATGCGCATCATGCGCATGTGCCGCACGTGCCACCGCCGCACTCCACACACTCGCACATGTCGCACACGCATGCGCAACGCTAGGAAATTTCAAATTTCCCCCGTCTCAAACATAGACATAGACATATACCTTTGAGTTAGTCCCAATGCAAATTACAGTCGAACTTCTTTCAATTCGCAACAAGACTTTGAGTTTGATAAATAGATGAAAAGCCGAAAAACTTGAGAGAAATTCAATTTTATACTTCAATCAGATACTTCCTAACAGGATATCATTCATTCATTCCAAGCAGCACTCTTTCTTATGTAAATCAATTTGAAATGTAAAATTGTTTCGACTTGCAAATAGCACATAGATTCCAGATCTCAGCATCAATGGCAGAGTCGAGCCTCTTTATTTGATCTATCACTTTTGAGAAATCTACAGTCTACAGAAGTCTGTATCAGACAACTATATCATAAAGCTGTCCAAGGACCTATTTTCTAAAACTATTTTAAACCAATTTTCTAGCTCAAAGACTTATTCTGCTTTAATGATTTATGTAATTCGCTGAGTAGACAAATGAGTTATTTTTCCAAGAATATCTTAAACAATCTAATCAAATATTGATTAACTAAGTTTAGTTGACTCAAAGTCAATCATACCAACAAAATTATCAGTTAAAGATTGGGCCCATAAATTGTTTTATGTGGGTTGCAAAGAAATTTCGAAATCTTTACAAATACAACAAAAGTCAGCTCAGATAAGTTCGAGTTGAAGAAGTTTGACTGTATATGTATATTAGTATCTTTCGTGTGTGTGTGTGTGTGCGTGTGTGTGTGTTAGTGTGTGTGTGTGTGTGTATAGGCAGCAAGTTGCAAGTTTTCACATAAGCAGTTCCCAAAGTGCAGCATTTGGCCATGAATTTGTCACTGCAAATGTAATGGGTATAGAGATATTATGATCATGGCCATTCGACGATCTCGCCGCTCGTTTTGTTGTTTAGCGTTGTGGGCGTGGCAGCTCATACACATATATAAATAGATATATATTTGTTTAAACCAACATTCATTTTGTTGATACTAGTCAAAACTCTTACTTAAAGGCAACTGTGCCATAGCCAAGCTACAGCTCTCATATATATATTTATGTATATATAGATATATATATATTACATATACCCATATAGCAATATCCATATAGCCATATACTTATATAACTATCGTACCGTATCGAACCCAGTGCCATCATTCTACTACAGCGTATCGACCAGAAAGAAAGCAAAAACAAAAGACAAAAAAACAAACAAAGAAATCTCGAACAGACACACCGAACAAATAACAAACACATAGCCGAGACTGCTTTAGTTAGTCCTTAAGCATAAGTGCAATAAAAACGTCAACTAGAGGAGGGGGTGGGAATGGGGATGGGAATGGGAATGGGGGTGGGGCTATTAGCCAGTCTATAAAGTTTTGCTGCGCAGAGTCTACATATATGTAAACTAATAAACTACATTTCATTAGTTACGATCTTAACGGTGTTTATATTATATACATATATATATATAGATATATATATATATATATATAGATTCATTTAGCAAATGTTGTTTTTCTTTAGTGGCGTCGGGCGTCGGCCTTCAGTGCGATGAGCGTGCTCAACAAAACACATCTTATTTAAATATATATACAGATATGCATATATATATATCTATATACATATATCTGTATACATGTAGTAGTTGCAAACTATATATTATCTATTGTTTTTTGTGTGAAAAAGCAATCATCATCGTTTTTAGCTTAATCTTAGCGCTATTTATAATTTATAGTTATTTTTATTTGATTTCACTTTATTCCAATGGCTTTTATTGGCTTATTTATCAATTCAATTCGATTTGCTAACTGGGATTACGCATCCAAAATGAAACCGATCAATTTGCATAAATTATATTACTTATCGAGTTTGTGCGTGGAAGAAATTATGATAAATAAATATCGAAATCTGTCAAAGTATTGTGCGTGATAGATAAAAAACAAAAAACAGAATCAAATATTAAAGAAAAAGTGTTTTTAGCTAAATAGTAAAATACTTTTAAATATCATCATTTAATCTATTTCCACCACACATAAACTCTGCAAAATTCTAAATGCTAAAATTTCCAAATAGCAAATCGAGCAAAAGCAAAATGTACTTACCCTTTGAGCTGCTGCCTGCTGTTCTCTACTAATATTTATTGTATATTTTTAATTCAAACAAAAATTCGAAGAAAAAAAAAACCAAATTTGAAAGGCAGCTCAAAGCATAATTCTTATGTGGCATGACAATAGAACGTAGAACAACAAAAGCAAAATACGTAATTTGCAAGCAATTTAATATAATTTATTAATTACAACTTATTTAAATTATAATTTCAAGCTAATTTAGTGCAGATTGCAGATTTCTGTCAAACAGAAGAAAAATATAATGAAAAGAAAAAGAAAAAAAGCAAAAACAAAACGCAATTCGCTAAAAAAAATATTCGTAGTTAAATTAATGTATAATGCTTGTGCAATTAGCTAAAAACAAAAGCAAAAACAAAACAAAAAACAACAAATTACTTTTAAAAAGACACAAAAAATAACACGAAATTTTCCTAGGCTAAGCGAAAGACATATTATGTTTAAAACAAAAAAAAAACAATATAGTAACTATATAAATGCATATATACATATATAAATATTTTATTTAGCGCAATATTATAAATTAATAAAAACAAAAACAAGAATGAAAAACTCTTGACTCGAGAGTATCCTGAACACAATTTACATCAGCCCAACAATTAAGTGCTGCCAACTAGTTTGAGAGTTTTCAGACTTTCCAGCTTTTCAAGAGCAAGGTTAAGAGCTTTTTACATAACCAGCCAGCAGTCAGCAGCCAGCCGCACGAGCTGCCAGTTTCTTGTTAACCTACACGCCAAAAAAAAATACGTAAAAAAGTTTAAAAAAAAAAAGAAAAACATTATCCAACAGGCGAGTGGGCAGCCTCTGAGCTGAATGAATTTGTATCTGTATCTACATATATTTGTATCTTTATCTTTATCTGCTCCGTTTCATCATTGCGTTGTAAAAGCTTCCGCTTGTGCTATGTGAAGTGACGAGCGATTTCTTGGCTATTTTTTTTCTCTGTTTCTCTTCTTTTTTTTTTTTAGTTATGAACAATAGACACAGTGCTGATAACTGCATGTGGGTTTTGCGTGACGTCATAAGCGATCGGTCGCTTGGTCGTTCGGTCGCTCGCTCAACGAGTTCATAAATCGATCAACAACAATTGGCTCGTCCAAGTGCCCCATCCAAGTCCAAGTCATGCATCAGCAGTTAGCCACACGCCTCCCCCCCTATCGCCCCCAGCTCAGATCTTGGCATGCAAATCGCTGAGCGCGGCATTTTCAATGCCAGGCGGCCAGGCGGCCAGCTGCCAGTCGTCGTCGTCGTCGTCGTCGTCGTCGCGTAGGCTTCATCGCATCTCTTAGCAGCGACAGAGACGGCGACTGCGATGACGTGTGCCACTGAGCCACTCTTTTCGGTGGGTCCCAAGCAGCTGTCGTTTCATTCACCTCCAACTGGAGACTATGAATGAACGCCAAAGCGACTACTACGACGACGGCGACGACGACTGAAAGGTTGTGGGTGTGACACCAACGCCGCTTCAGGTCACAACAAACATAAAATACACACACAGACATTCGCAGCAAAGAAGTAGGTGTGCTGCCAGCTAACTGATTGACTAAGTGATGCCCTGTAAAGTGCTTAAGATGCTCGCACTTTTATTTCTTGGTTTGCTTGGATTATTTCGCAGTTGGTATTTGGTCAGATTCTCAAAAAAACCAGGACCATTATTCAAGCTTCTAGTTTTTTTGGTCTTATGAGAAGATTCAATTCGAATTCTATGACTCTTTAAGATTCTTATTAATATTTTCGGGCTTTTAAGAGTTACCCAAAACTTTTTATATGCCTCTGTTGTGCTAGGAATACTTAAACCTATGCAGCAAATTTTCCAATTTCCATTGAAAAACTAATGTATATCGATTCTGCTGGGCTTTCTGAGCAAATTCCTTTACACACCAATTTTGTCTAGTTTTGGCTACAAAAGATAATTGCTGCTCCACTTATTATCAACTCCAAAAAAGGTCATATCAAAGCTGCTGCAACTTCTCTCTCTTAGTTTGTCATACCCGCTTTTGGTTTATTTATGTTTACAGAGTATTTGGCAGGCACGTCATCACCATTTGTTGTTAATACTGTTGCTGCTGCTGGTTGGTATTTGTTGGCCAGCTGACTGATAAACTTCATAGCTTGTTATTATTGCCTGGAGCTGCTGTAGGTCGTTCTCTGACACTGCCGCCAACTCCGAGTCCAGCCAAGGTTAATTGTCTGCATGCAGTGGGTTGCTCTATCTGCTGCTGCTGCTGCTGCTGCTGCTGCTGCTGCTGCTGCTGCTGGTTGTTGTTGGGCAACTTTGCGCCACTTTATACAATACTTATGTATAGCAAACTAATATGCGTATATTTTATCTGCGCGGGTGTTTCTTTACTTTGTCTGCTTCTTTTTACTATAGATCATTACCTTCTTTGGTCGCTCACCTGCGCATCTTAAACGCCAACGCCCCCGTTTAAATAAAAAACACAACATGTTGTAAGTTTATTGGCTTTAGCTCAGTTTTATTTTATTTTAAATGTCGCTTTTATTTTGAGTGTTTTGAGTCTGCTTGCTAATCGCTTACAGTGGTGACCCTTTTGACTTTCATTTTTTGCTCTTTGGTACAGTTTCTGCTTAGGTTAAATAGCCGATCTTTTAAATATATATTGTCAACTATCTTTTATGGTTGT